TGCAATTTATGTTAAATTTTCTGTAGCTTTAACAAGCAGGTTATACATATTTACATCGGGTCTGTTGGTTTGAGTCATCATCAACGTGAATATTGATTTCTAAACATGTCCGCTGATCTCAAGCGGTAGGTACTACTGGGGGTTGAGTATTTGTTAAGATTAGCGTGAATGTATCGCAGTGACTCGTAAATATAGATTGACGCTAAAGGCAGTATCCGACTATTCTTAAATAGGTCTCTACAAGTAGCTCGAAATTTGGAATTCGTTAATATCCTTATTGCCGACTTCTGTAATACGAATATTTTGTTTGCAGTAACCGAGTTACCCCACAGAACAGTACCATAGGACAGGTGACTGTGAAAAATGCTGTAATATACATCCCTCAGTGTATGACCACTAAGACATCGGTTAAGTTGTCTGAGTATGTACACCTGAGTGGAGAGCTTGGAACAGAGGTAGTCAATATGTGAGGCCCAATTAAGTCTGGTATCTAAAACCATCCCCAATAGCTTCACTGGTGCCGACTTCGATACCCACCTATCGGATGAAAAAGTGATATGGTGGGTTTTGCTTTCATTAAGAGATAATTTATTAGCAAGGAACCAACGTTTAGCCTGTTCCAAGCTTTCCACAACAGAACACAGATCTGAACGAATAATAGCTATAATAATAATAATAATAGTTATAATAATAATAATAACAATCATAATAATAATAATAATAATAAAAACAATAATTATAATAATAATAATAATAATAATAATCATAATAATAATAATAACTATAATTACAATAATAATAATAATAATAATAATAATAATTATTATTATTATAATAATAATAATAATTATTATTATTATTATAATAATAATAATAATTATAATAATAATAGCTATAATAATAATAACAATAATAGTTATAATAATAATAATTATTATTACAATAATAATAATAATAATCATAATAATAATTATAATTATAATAATAATATTAATTATTATAATAATAATAATTATAATAATAATAATAATAGTTATAATAATAATAAATATAACAAAATTGGAAAGCCCCTGGTATAGACCAGATACCTAATTTCTGGCTGAAACATCTAGTGTCTACACACGAAACAATAACAATGATATATAATAGTTACTTCGATAACGGAACAGATATCCCGAACTGGCTGCCAAAGGGTAAAACATACCTTCTTCCAAAGTCTGGAGATAGTAAGGACCCCAAAAATTACAGGCCTATCACCTGTCTGAACACCTTGTACAAATTGTTAACTAAAGTAGTAGCCAGCAGAATATCTGATTATGTAAATGATAATAAGATAATACCAACTGAACAAAAAGGCTGTGGCAAGGGCTCTTTTGGTTGCAAGGATCAGCTACTCCTCTCGAAAGCCATTGTAGAAGATTGTAAAGAGAACAAAAAAAATCTTAGCATTGGATGGATTGATTATAGAAAGGCATTCGACAGCGTCCCGCACAGCTGGCTCCTGAAATCTCTGAAGCTTATAGGAACATCTGAGAAGATCATTGATCTATGTAAGCGATTGATTTCGCTATGGAGTACTACCCTGTTAGTCAGTAATAATGGGGAAGAAATAGAGTTAGGACCCATACAGATAAAAAGAGGTATATATCAAGGTGATACCTTGTCACCTCTCCTGTTTGTGGTTGCGATGGTTCCTTTAAGTACGCTGCTCAACGAGGCCAACCTAGGTTACCAACTTAAAGGAGCAAATGATTGTCTCTCCCATTTGCTATATATGGATGACCTGAAGCTCATATCTCCCAGCCAATACAAACTGAAAACGTCTCTCAATATTGTAAAAAAATTTAGCGATGACATACAGATGAGCTTCGGTCTCGATAAGTGCGCTGTAGTCACTTTCAGGAGAGGAATGCATTATGACTCTGCTAATATAATAGTTGATGAAGGACAGACGATCAAATCACTAGAACATGGCGGAGTGTACAAGTACCTGGGAATTAAAGAAGGCCCACACATCACCCACGATTCACTGAAAGTTGATATTAGACATGAGTATATAACGAGAGTATGTAAAATTCTGCAAACTCAACTCACGTCTAGAAACAAGATAACAGCAATTGGAGCTCTTGCCATACCAATCATGCAGTACAGCTTTGGTATAATCAATTGGACATTGGATGACATAAGACAAATGGATCGCAAAACAGGAAAACTAATGACAACACATAACATCCTTCATCCCAAAGCAGACATCGACAGATTATACGTGCCACGAAAGAAAGGGGGACGAGGACTAAAGCAAATAGAAGAAACGTACAACAATACTATCTTCTCAGTAGGGCAGTATATTCAAACCAGATCTGAGCAAGACCGCCTACTACAGATGTTACTAGCACATGACAATAGGAAACCAACAAATAGATCTATTGTAAAGCGTAGTAATAAGATCAAATTAGAAGCTGCGGAAGCCGGACATACGGTCGAGCGAGGTAACAGGTCATCAAACTGTACTTGAAGCAATGTGTCGAAGAGAAATGGCGGAGTAAGCCTCTACACGGACAGCATATCCGTCAAATGGAGGAGCTTTCGGTTGACTTAAGACTGTCATTTGGATGGTTACAATACGGAGATTTAAAAGGGGAAACCGAAAGCTTGCTGGTGGCAGCACAAGACCAAGCCTTGAAAACGCGTTACATTGAGCAAGCAATACACAAGACGAGGAATGATGGTAAATGCAGATTGTGTCACATTCACAATGAAACTGTTGAACATATAATATCTGCATGTCCAATACTAGCGCCAAAAGAATATACTGACAGGCACAATAATGTCTGCGCAGCCATCCATCTAGAAGTGTCTCGCCACCTTGGTTGTCCAATAAAATCGACGAAATGGTATGAGCATCACCCCGACAGAATAACACGAAGTGAAGATGGTAGTATCACAATAATGTATGACCATCCCGTTATCACGGATAGAGAAATAAAAGCAAACAGACCAGATATTGTTATAAAAATCACCGAAATGTGCTATATAATTGATATATCGGTACCTGCAGATAGACATGTCATACAAAAGGAGGCTGAAAAGCAACTAAAATACAAATCATTACTCATAGAAGTGCAAAGAATGTGGCATACAAAGGCAGTTGTTATTCCCGTAGTGATTGGTGCAACTGGATATGTCACTCGCAACATCCTAGATAACCTAAAGGGATACCAGGAGATCATAATTTCTATCAGTTACAGAAGATCGCCTTATTAGGCACATCGCACATAATTAGGAAAGTTATAACATAACCAGCTCATAAACTACAAAGATCTGTACCCCTCAGGTCCTCGGCGAGGACCCGGCGTAGAGGTCAAACCGTTCCATAATATAAGATACCGCTACTAATAGAAAACGGTCCTGTAGCGTGAAAAAAAAAAGATAATAATAATAATAATAATAATAATAATAATAATTATAATAATAATAATAATAATAATAATAATTATAATTATAATAATAATAACTATAATTATTATTATAATAATAATAATAATTATAATTATATAATAATAATAATAATGATAGTTATAATAATAATAATCATAAAAATAATAATAGCTATAATAATAATAATTATAATATAATAATAGTTATAATAATAATATATTAATAATAATATATTATAATATAATAATCATAATAATAATAATTATATTATATAATCATAATCATAATCATTATAATAATTAATATATATAATAGTTATATATAATAATATCATAATAATAATAATAATTATGATAATAATAATAATAATAATAAATAATTATATAATAATAGTTATAATAATAATAATCATAATAATAATAATCATAATAATAATAATAATAATAATAATAATAATAATAATAATCATTATAATAATAATAATTATTATAATATAATAATCATAATAATAGTAATAATAATAATAATAATAATAATACTAATAATAATAATAATAATAATATAATAATATAATATAATAATAATAATAGTTATAATAATAATAATAATAATAATAATAATCATAATAATAATAATAATAATAATAATAGGCCGTCCGGCCAACTATCGGTGTCTTCCTGTAGCATTCCTGTGCGTTACCTAGCAGGATTGTTGCTGGAACATGCCGTAGGATTACAACCTTCGTAGCGTCGCTGCGCCTGGTGGTGTCCTCTTGCTACGGTAGTGTCGAAGACCGTACAGCCGGCGCCCGACCATCTGTCCACTACCTTCATCCTTTTTACACTCGGGTCGGCGTGGGACTGTTACCAACCTAGGTAGAGAAACAATCGGCTACAGACCACGACTTCATACCGCTTTCTGTAGTGAATATCCGGAGATCAAAGTATCTCAGCAGAGAGTGGCAGACCAATATCGAGTGATAATCAAAAATAATCTTATCCCACAACCACGGCTGAATGCCATCAAACAGGAAGTGCAGCTTGATCTTATGCAACAAGAAGGGAGTAATAACGAAATACGCGATAATGGTCAATCTGAGCAAGAACAGATAGAAAGTGAACAGCCTGGAGTTGACGACAGTAATGATCAAGACACAGAAATATTTGGTATATTAATAACTGAAATGGGTAGAGCATATGCCGAATTTGATGGAACGAACCCGCTAGAAAGACCACCATTACCAAAGTTGAAGTCATCTAGAAAGCTTGCTGTGGTATTGTGTCAGTTAAATAAACAGATCCTGCCAGAGTATCTAGCACACTCCAACTGTATAGAACAACTTCACACACTGATATACTGTGCAGCTGTTGCAACAGTAAGAACACTTGGTGTCAAAATGCCAACTCAAAAGATTACTGAAAATTCAGTAAAACCAATAACACCAAAATGGGAAAAAAACGTCTGGAAAGAAGAACGGCAGAAATTCGCAGAGATATCGGACGTCTTACCCAATTCACACGAGGAATAACAACTCGAAAAGTCCGAAGCAAGCTATGGAAATAATGCAACGACTCCACCATCATTCTCACCAAGACGCAACTAACATCAACGAGTGGCAATGCCTTGATACCTTGAAGCAAAAACTGTCCGTATATACTCAGCGATTGAAAAGGTATAAAGCGTCCAGTCACAGAAAGCACGACAATGCGCTCTTTCAACGATCCGAAAAGGCATTCTACAGGAAACTGTCATCCGAACCCCAGGAAAAGAGCAAAACGGTGCCCACAAAGGACCAAGTAGAGGAATTTTGGGGCAAGCAGTTTGGCTCGACAGCTTATTACAACAAGTGTGCAGGATGGATTACAGATGAAGAAGCGAAGAGCCATTATTGCAATCCCATGCAGTATAGGGCATATACCAAACAAGAAATCGTGGATATCGTTAAGCAGTTGCATAATTGGAAGGCCCCGGGCCCAGACCAGATTCATGGCTACTGGATAAAGAAGCTTTGGTGCATGCATGAACAACTAACAAGATATATCAATGACATGCTTTTGAATCCAAATAAGACTCCAACGTTCCTAACACAAGGGCTAACGGTATTAATACCAAAAGATCACAATAATACAGAAGACCCAGCAAAATACCGCCCAATTACCTGCCTTCCTACGCTATACAAGGTGGTCACTGCTTGTATATCGAAGCGAATTTATGCTCATTGTGAAGAAAACGATATTATTGCGCCACAACAAAAAGGCTGTGCTAAGGGAGCTATGGGATGCAAAGAACAGCTGGCTATCGACTCAGTCATCTGTAACCAAGCCTATACCAACAAAAGGAACCTATACATTACGTACATCGACTATCAGAAGGCATACGATTCTGTACCTCATGAGTGGCTTGTCAGGGTGCTGAGGCTCTATAAGGTAGATGAGCATGTAGTGGCCCTATTAGAACATATGCTGAAGACCTGGAGAACCAGAATAACACTGCATACAAACGGGACCAGCACCATTCAAACTGAGACGATCTCTATCCGAAGAGGTCTCTTTCAGGGTGATTCATTAAGTCCCCTATGGTTTTGCCTAGCTATAAATCCCCTCTCAAACCTCTTAAATGCAACAGGGTATGGATATAGTCTGAAAGATAACAGGAACGCATCCATAAAACTGAACCACTTGCTGTATATGGACGACCTAAAGGTAATAGCTGCTACTGAGAATCAAATGAAACAGCTGCTAGAGATAGTCGGTCAGTTCTCAGATGACATAAGTATGCGATTTGGGATGGATAAATGCAAAACCTTATCTATACGTAGGGGGAACATCTACCCTGGAGGATTTTCAAGCTGCAGAGGCCAAAACATTGACGCAATGGACGCAAATGACACATACAAGTACCTTGGAATGGCGCAGGCCCGAAGGATAGACCATAAAAAAATGAAGGAAGCTATATCGCAGACCTTCACAAAAAGAATACGGCTACTTCTGAAAACAGAACTCAATAGTAAGAATCTAGTCAAGGCGATTAACACCTACGCATGCTCTGCCTTGAACTACTCGTTCGGTATAGTTCTGTGGAGTAAAACTGACATCGAGAAACTAGAGAGGCGGGTAAGGACTATGCTAACAAAAAAAGGAGCGCACCATCCTCGCAGTGCAATAGAGCGCACAACCTTACCCCGACAGTTAGGAGGAAGAGGTCTAATGGACATCAGCAAGCAGCTAGCTCAACAGGTACTCGCCTTGCGATCCTACTTCTTTGAGAAGGCCGAGATCTCTGAGCTGCATCGCATCATATGCTCAATAGATGACACAACGCCCTTACACCTTAGTAGACGAGATGACCAACCGAGTCACCAAACCAACGAACAGAAGCTACAACGATGGATTGAAAAACCTCTACATGGGAGACATGCCAACGAGATTAGCCAAGAAAACGTTGACAAGAAAGCGTCAAACTATTGGCTTACCTCAGGCCAAATGTTCCCTGAGACTGAGGGATTCCTTGTAGCTATACAGGACCAGGTCATTCCTACCAACAATTACAAGAGGTTCATACTTAAGAACTTGCAACAGTCTGATAAATGCAGGTACGGCTGTCAGGACTCCGAAACAATACAGCACGTAACTGGTGGATGCCAAGCATTCGCTCCAACGGACTATAAGGAGCGCCACGACATAGCTGCCAAAATCATTCACCAGGAGTTGGCATACAAATTCAAACTGATCGAATGCAAGCTACAGTACTACAAATATACACCGCAATGTGTCCTCGAGAACGACAAGTATAAACTATACTGGGATCGCACTGTGCTTACGGACCAATACATAAAACAAAACAGACCTGACATAATCATTGTCGACAAGGACGCCCAGAAAGTAACACTGATTGATGTGGCCATACCTAATAGTAACAATTTAACATACAAACATAATGAGAAAGTTGCAAATACAGGGAGCTAGAATTTCAAATTAAACGCCAGTGGAAAATGAAGTACGTGGAAACAATACCAATAATAATGTCATCTACAGGGGTGATACCAAGAAGGCTGCTAGAAAACATCAAAGCGCTGGAACTGAGTGAAAACATTTACAAAATCATACAGAAAGGAGTTTTGCTGGCAACTGCCCGCATAGTAAGAAAATTTATGGGAAATGCAAGTACCTAGGGAGGTCACTATTGAGGCTTACCCCTTTGATGCTTGAAGCGTCCGGGTTAAGCCAGAACACCCCGATTAACGGGAGTAACAAAGCCCTACGGCTATTTAAAAATAATAATAATAATTATAATAATAATAATAATAATAGTTATAATAATAATAATAATAATAATAATAATCATAATAATAATAATAATAATAATAATAATAGGCCGTCCGGCCAACTATCGGTGTCTTCCTGTAGCATTCCTGTGCGTTACCTAGCAGGATTGTTGCTGGAACATGCCGTAGGATTACCACCTTCGTAGCGTCGCTGCGCCTGGTGGTGTCCTCTTGCTACGGTAGTGTCGAAGACCGTACAGCCGGCGCCCGACCATCTGTCCACTACCTTCATCCTTTTTACACTCGGGTCGGCGTGGGACTGGTGGAGGGGGCGGCATATGCCGACTCCTCGGCCTTTTTCTCAGCCCCACGTCGGCTCGAGTAGACCCATAACCCATCCTTGTCATTTCCATACCTTCTCTCCTTGCCCCCCACTTCGCCCGGTAATCCCAAGGTGTTGGCCATGCTGAGGGGATGGATGGCACTACATAAGTGTGTCCCTAACGGCCCCGTGTCTTCCACGTTAAAGAGGCGTGTATCCCCTACGACACAGGGGAACTATGGTCATGTTAAGCAACGCACAAGGAGTGGTACCCCAGGCAGGTAGAGTTCAGGAGAGCTCAGAATCCTGTAGTATAAAAAGCCCCACGGATTCTGGGGGGGGGCAACTTAACATGTGACGCGGTAAGAGCAGGTGAATCTGCCCCTTGGAGAGAAACCGCAAGGAGAGAGGATCCGTTTAACTGGGAAAAGGCGGGACATGTCCCTCGGTTCCTAGTAATGGAAAGGTTGGATGGGGAAAACTTCAGTAAAGTGAGCCCCTTCCTCATTGCAAAGCAATTGCAAGGAGTCGTAGGCAATTTAAAAAATATAAAGAAATCGAAAGAAGGATTGATTTTAGAAGCGGCAACCGACCCACAGGCGAAGCGACTGATGAAAATGGAACGACTTGGACCACATATTGTTAGAGTTAAACCACACAGAACGTTAAACTTTTGCAAAGGTGTGATCACATGTTCAGATTTATTAAACTGCTCCATCCAAGAAATCTTAACGGAACTTGAAAATGAAGGAGTCGTCGAGGTGAAAAGGATATATAAAAGGAAAGACGACAAATTTATTGAGACGTCAAGCCTAATATTAACATTCAATAGATCCCAAGTACCACGGAATATTAAAGCAGCCTTTTACGCACTAGAAGTCCGCCCATATGTGCCGAACCCCATGCAGTGTTTTAAGTGCCAGCGATATGGGCACTTATCGACATCATGTCCGAATGATGAAATTTGTGTTTGCGGTATAGCCCCTCACACCGGACCATGCCCAGAGCCCAAGATATGTGTTAATTGCGGCTCAGAACACTCATCCCGGTATAGAAATTGCGCTAAATTCAAGGAAGAAATGCTAATCCAAAGAACAAAAACTCTAGAATCTTTTAGTTACGCGGAAGCCAAGCGAAAAGTGATGAATCAGACGCCAAGGGTTTCATATGCACAAGTAGCTGCTAAACAAGCTGAATCCACAAAAACTGTTATGGATGAGATAGTTCCCCTAATCAAGAAAGTTATTGAGGAACAGTTTAAGAAACTTCAGCCACCAAATACAACGCCGGTAATCTTCAGACGACCCCTAGTCCCGGCACACTTAACACGAAATAAAGAGATGGATGTATCAGCGGTTTCAGATACATCCACAACTTTTAGCGAAAAAAGGAAAAGAGATTTCGTCAACTATAAAGAAAACGATCCTGATACCGACAGCTCACTCGCGAGCGCTGGTGCTGAGAGCAAAAAGAAGAAACGAGGCTGGCCGAAAGGCAAGCCAAGAAATACCAGGTCGAGGGAGGACTCCCGGGAGAGCTTGGTGGACCCTAGCTCGCCCAAGGGTCCAGACGAACAAAATGTAGAAGATCTCCATAAGTGATAAGAATTCTGTGATAATTGTATATTAAACTCTAATTTATAATATTTATTTACCTGTGCACGTATATACTTTTTTTTTCCTAAATTTTATTTTATACTAATTTATTACTAGTGTATAAAGTCTGTGGGTAATTCTGTGTAAAACCTTTAATTAAGAATTACTTAACAATGACCACTTTAATACAGTGGAACATGAATGGATGTATAAATCGTTATCCAGAACTTAAAATGATAATCACAGAAAGGCACCTACCTGTATTTGTGCCCAGGAGACACATTTCGCTCCTGAAAGTAATTTCAACCTGCGAGGCTTTGACTGCTTCCGGAAAGATGTCATCCCAACACATCGTTCGAGAGGTGGAGTAGCTACCTTCATGAAAAAAGAATTACACCCTAGAGAAATACCTTTAAATACCCCACTCCAGGCAGTTGCAGTTCGTACAATGGTGCCAAATAAAATTACAATCTGTAATATCTATTTACCAGATGGAAATTGGAGCTATAACCAAATGATAGATATATTTATGCAACTGCCCTCTCCCTTTGTTGTAGTTGGCGATTTCAATGCGCATAACCCCTTGTGGGGATCACAATCCTTAGACCCTCGAGGGCAGAGAATAGAAGAGATCATAAACGAGTTAGGGCTCGTTCTTCTAAATACAGGAGAAGGAACCTTCTTCAACGCTCGATCCCAAAACTTCTCTTGCATTGATTTATCTTTGTGTAGCTCAAATATCGCACACTTGCTGACATGGAACATTCTCGAGGACCACTTACACTCCGACCACCTACCTATATGCATCAAGATAGCAGGTGATCTTCCTCAAAGCTCCATTCACCCCACCTGGCAAATGAACAAGGCGAACTGGAACTTATACCGGAGTAAAATTGTTCCTTTCGAAATCAACAATGACGTTGATGAGTCAACAAGGTCAGTAACAGAATCCATCGTCAACGCAGCCATTGCTAGTATCCCTAAGAGACAAAACTCTAATAGAAGACGCACTGTGCCATGGTGGAGCAATGAGCTATACCAGGCTCTCGAAGAGAAAAAAGAGTTACTGAGGATTTTTAGAAGAAACCCAACTATGGAAAATATGGTAGCTTTTAAGAAACAAAGAGCCAAAGCACGCAGGTTAATTTTAAATAATAAAAAATCATCTTGGGAGCAATACGTTTCTGGTATAACGAAGGACACACCCTCAAATGAAATATGGAGTAAAATTAGATCCATTGCAGGCAAACATTACCAAAACCCTCCAAATATACTAATTGTAAATAATACCGAAGTCACAGATCCTATCGATATACCCAATGCTCTAGCATCCCACTTCCAGGAATCCAGTAGCACGCAAAATTATGAACCACACTTCATAGAAACGAAAACAACAGTTGAAGCTGTAGAATTGAATTTTCAAGAATCAGTAAAATCAGACTACAATTTACCTTTCTCATCCACCGAAATGACGGACGCGCTGGAAGAATTACGTAATTCAGCGCCTGGCCCTGATTCGGTTAACTACGAAATGCTTCGAAACTTACCTGAAACAGAAAAAAATGGGTTACTGCTACTATACAATAAGATTTGGTCCGAGGGGGCACTACCAACCCAATGGAGGGAAGCAATTGTAATCGCTATTCACAAAGTAGGTAAAGATCCCAAGTATGCAAACAACTACCGACCGATCTCTCTTACTAGCTGTATTAGTAAATTATTTGAGAAAATGATAAATAAAAGGCTTGTGTGGTGGCTGGAGGTTAATAACAAGATTTCCAACCACCAATCTGGGTTTCGCAAATATAGATCTACCATTGACCAATTGGTCTACTTAGATACGGCTGTCCAACTTGCATTTGCCGAACGTAAGCACCTGATTGCCGTATGCTTCGATATTGAAAAGGCCTACGACACTACGTGGAGGCGTGGAATCATTGACACGCTGTACCATTGGGGCCTACGTGGGGAATTAATAAAATTTATCCATAATTTCATGCAGGACCGTTATTTCAGGGTTCGGGCTGGAAATATTTTTTCAACCAGCCGAACACAAGAGAATGGAATACCTCAGGGTTCAACCCTGAGCGTTACTTTATTCTTAGTAGCAATTAACCGCTTGTTGGAAGTAGTAGACCCCGAAGTTGGCAGTTGCCTATACGTAGACGATATGACCATATTCTATTCGTCCGTCGATCTAGAACACTTGAAAGACACACTTCAAAGGGCTATTGACCAGATTGCTACCTCTGCTGAAAACATGGGCTTTAAATTTTCCACCTCTAAAACAGCTTGTATCCACTTTTGTCGACTACGAAGGTCACACGACGATCCGATATTGACACTGAAAGAGACCCAATACGATACTGCGATAGTATTAGAATACTTGGGCTAATTTTCGACAAAAAACTATACTGGAAGGAACACATACAGGACCTAGCTACCAGATGCAAAAGAGCCACAAATATTATAAGATGCTTATCGAATATATCATGGGGAGCAGACAGAGAAGTACTTTTAACCCTCTACAAAACATTGGTTCTATCTAAAATGGAATACGGAATGTCTTTGTTCGCCGCAGCAAGGAAGTCACACATCAGAATCTTAGAAAAGGTCCATAACCAGGGAATCCGACTATGCATAGGAGCTTTCAGGACAAGCCCCGTAACATCTATATATTGCGATGCTGGTATTCCTCCTTTATCATACAAAATACAAGTTTCAACACTAAATTATGCAATCCATGTGTGGGCACAACCAAATCACCTGAATCACTGCATTATC